TTCATCTGATCACAATTTCTAGTCAGATCTTTTAGAAAAATTTTGAAAATGTAGCTTTTGAGCCAATTAGTAAAGTGCAAGTCTGAAGTTACCAGACAATTTCTTTGATTTTTTGCAATTACTTATTTTTTGCTGACAGTGTTTTCCACATACAAAAAAATGTCGAACATAGTTTGTTTGGAAGATACTCTCAGTAAAAACAATACCAAAAATCAACTAAATTTTTATGGGCTGCAAAACTTCATTTTCAAAATTTTTATAAAAAAGTCTGAATAGAAAGTTGCGAATTTGAATGCAAAATTATTGCATTTTCCCGAGTTTTGCACAAAGTTTAGAAATTTTATTTTTATGTTTTCTGATGTATTTAGTATAAACTGTATTTTTATAAGGAACAAGAAAGGTACATGCATTGTGGAAAATTCTCTGTACTTTAGTTGCGATAAATTGTTTTGTTTTGCTGGTGTGCGTTGTAATGATCTCATGATCTCATGTTTTTATGTTTTTTTTGTCAAAATAAAATTTTACTACATCCTTTTGTACGTAATTTTTGTCGAAACGAAATGGAAGGGAGCGAGAGGCCTCTCCCCCCCTTAAGTGTCCCGGTTTGGCAACAGAGATATCTGGCAGCCCTACTTAAATGTTTAATTTCTTCTGTAAAATTGAAGATGTATGAAAACTATTACTAAATAATTACGAAACTTTATCCACCCATTCACTTCTGAGCGTTTTACACTATATATGAAAATGAAAATCAAATTCCAAAGAACCCATGCCAGATCGAAGATTTAGTAGGCTTCTTTTGTGTAGCTTTTTGCGAAAAGTTTCTTTGCCGTACTTACCATTAAACAAGAGTTTTAGCAAAATATTGTTGATTTTGGTTAAATAAATCATATACTTCAAAGAAATGTTTATTTATTTTCAAGTGAAATCTAACTTGTGGAAAGTGAAAGTGAAGTAAAAACTTCAATGGAAGTGGCAGCGGCAGCACTGTACACTACGTTGCTTATGCATTTCACAGACTTTTCGTTCATTTTCTGATAGTCAGTTACGGCAGTTTATTCACATTAAGCCCAAAATACAATAGCGCATATAAAATCAGCTGCTACTGCTAATGTTGGCAGTCACTGCCGCAGCAAACGAAATACTGCGTTGTCAGTGACTGCTTTTTTTGGCATTCCCTTTTGTTTGATTTTGTTTGTGATTTTAGAAATTGGGCTAAACTGAGCAGTACTGCCAGCTGTCACTGCTGTATTGTAAATCGCTTCATTGGACACTACACTTTATAAAAAAACAGCTGATTTCGAAAAACTGCCACTGCCACTGCGCTATTGTATTTTGGGCTTTATAGTCAGCCCTTTATGTGTCGCTAGCAGCCGGTCAGTTTGTGTTTGTACTTCATGCTGTAAGCATGGCACGCGCAAGTTCTTATGTTGCCAACGCCAACGCTGCCAACGCTATGCACCACTGATGTAAGTGTCTTTCGAAAGAGGATTTTTATTTCCCACAGGCAGATTGCTAATCCAGCTCGAGCAAGATGAAATATATTTCAGAATTCGATTCACGCGCTTTGAGTTGCAGTCACACCTTGCAATTTTCATTTCTGGGACTGATTTCCGAAATGTGTCAGAAAGGTCTTACTGGCTGTTCACACATAAAAATAAAATTTCTCTTTCTCAATTTGACAGCGAATTGTTGGAAATCTTGGAAAATCTGACACGCTCGTTTTTTCGTGAGCAATCAGATAATTAAAATATCAATATTACAACATTGGGATGATAATTGAGTCTTTTAATTTTGTACCAAATTACCAAAAATAATGTACTAAATAAACCGAAAAAGTACCAATATTTAAAAGACCATACACAAGTTA